GTAGCTTACCCTTACTGTACAATCTTGTAAAAATTCCTTTTATGAAACTAAAGGAGCATTTTCCTTTTGTTGGATGATTTCTCTGGAAAATTTGCGAGCTGAAAACATTTACTCAAGGTGATATCACCTCTTTGCTTTAAGATGAAGTCACCTTTCAGATTTGTTAACCTAAAAGTATAAGATTCAAAACTGTTTCCATTCTCTTTTTCTCTTACATCATTCTCTCTTACTGTCTGTTGTCCTGTAACAACATTACCAGCTACGTTTTCATCCTGCCACTTTATAAAATCATTCTCAGACACATCTTTCACATTGGTACAATTACCAAGAATGACCTCAGCAACTGGATCTGACAAGACAGTGAGCTTTGTCCTCCCGGTTCAATACTCGGATCTGCTATTGGCCTATGCCAGCTTATACCATTCTTTCCTTCCGGAGAAGGTGCAGCACACAATATGTTCACCTGTATAGTCACAGTCATTTACCAAACTCTTTTGAATGCCCAATACTGTGGCACCTGAATCTCTTAAGATCAAGATCGTATACTCCTGACCATCAATGAAACCTTTACTAAATTCAGTTTTCCACCAAAATTCGTGGCAGCATTCACATCTCCTGTAATTAGTATATCATGGCCACAGGCCAGTTTTCCATTCTCACTGAAGGCTTTACTCACTTGACAGGTCGTTTCAGTGAAATCTGTGAGTTCCGCAGCATTTGCAGTTGGCTGTTCATGTATACTTGTATCCAACCATCCACTGTCACTGTCGGTTCCACTACTTTCTTAAGTCTCTGCCGCACCAGTCTAATGGTTTTATTTTTGAGCCTTTATCCTGCAGCTGATTAATAGCATGGCAGAGACGACATTCACGAGGGCACTTATATGACCTTCTTTTTTCCTATCTTCTTTTTAGATAGTTTAGGTGATACTGTTAGAATTCTGTGTTGTCTTCACACCAATGCAGTTTACCATGCTCTGTTTTACAGTACGTGCATGTTTTCATAGGACCCGTATCTCTGAAAGATAAGTTACTCTTATAATCTTTATTGTCTTTCTGGCTGCATAGTGGTGGTAATGGTTCTTTCTATACACTGGTTGCACAGCCGCACCATAATTCATATCTGGACTTTTACCAAAACTAAACATGTTTCTATGAGCATTAAAATAGGCTGCCCCTGACACTTCCATCTCTTTGAATGTGGATTGCTTTTGTACACTTAAAATTGTCATCATACTACTAGACACACGGGATAGAACCTTATCTTTAATTAGCATATCTTTCAATAACTCATATGATTTACCAATTTTAGCAAATGTTACCCATTTATCAAATTTTGTCTCAACTTCCTACATGTTTTTAAAAGTATTCCTATGTGACTCTTTATGACTCTAATGAAAAAAGTTGCGAAATTCTTGCCTTAGCAAATTCATAATCATCTAAATTGTCAGTTGGTATTGTTTCTAACAATTTAAATGGTTCAACCCCTCCTTTCCCCAAATGTTTCCTATAAACAAGTGACCATCTTTATGTGGGACCTCAAAATGTTTAGCCATATACTCAAAATTTTGAGTCCCTGCTGAAATATATTCACCTTGTGCGAAGAATGTAACCAGGCTGTGATACTTTTCAAATGAGGGTTCATCTGCCTTTATCTCAACCTTTTAATCTGTACCTCAGTCCGTCTAATCACTTTTGTCTCTTTGCTTTCAGTTCAATTGCCAGTCTCTCTTTCTGGAGTTCTATCTTACAGATTATCTCTTTATCTTTCAGGATTATAAGATGTTCTAATTTTTTGTTTTTGATTAGCACCTGTTCTATGTCTCTTTCAGTTTGAGCTTCCTACTCTTTATATTTCAAAGCAATTTAAGCAGTAAATTTTTTTGTCTTTCAATGTCATCTGCAGAGTTGCTCCTTGCTGTTTTAAAGCAGTTTGTAATGCTGTTTGTGTGGCAATTTCCTTTTCTTTTACAGTTGTTTTGCTCCGTTATTTTTTCTCTCTCTAGTAATGGCCTTAGTTTCTTTTGCCTTATTCTAGGCTTCAAGTTAAAGCTTCTTCAGTTCTCTTTTATCCACTCAGTCTTGTCTTTCTTGCTAATCTGCGTTTTTCTCATCAGTGCATTCCAGTAATTTTTCACCAATCAGCCCATGATATCTGCCCATCTCAATGAAGTCAGCTAGACTAGATATCTTGCAAAGGCGCAGTAAATACAATAAGTCAGAAAAACCATACTTCAAAATAGTAAATTACTTGCAGCAACAAACAAACTATTTACTTGCAGCAACCACAGAGAAAAAAAGACAAAATTATTTATGCGCAGCAACCACTGAACAAATTATTATTTTGCAGCAACCACAGGAAAACAATTGTCCCCTGGGGACAACAATTTTTATTCACAGCAACAAAAAAGGTTGTACGATAGTAATAAAAATGATACACTACAATATGACAGATCAGTAATCAAAATAGAATACTTTTAATTTTGAAGTGAGATTAATAAACTGCTGTGAAGCTATAAAAATATCTGCTCTACACGTCCTCCCATCCCTCTTCCTGCAAGGACTCAGTTCCATTCTGCCAACTTCTACACCTCCGCAGATTATGCAGGAGAATGATAACTTTCACAACGAGGCCCTGGAAATGCTGGACTTCTTCCGGCTTCGAGGGTATCCTGAACATGTCTTATTTGCCGCTTTTCACCACGCACAGTCTTTCCATGGTGCCGAAGCTCTCGCTTCCAAGCCGAAACGTCACAACAACAGACCTATCCACTTACCTACCACTCTCACTACATCCGCGCTAAAAATATTTTCCTCAGGCATCTCTCCATTCTTAAAGCCGACCCTGCCACCAGCACGAATTTCTCTGAACCTCCTCTAGTGGCCTACATACATGATCGTAACCTCAAGGAAATTCTAGTCAAGAGTAGGTTATGCCCTGCGTCTGAGCCACACTTTGGCACGGTCTCTTGCCACAAACCTGTATGCAGAACCTGTCCATATGTGGTCCAGGTGGCAAGTCTAGATTTCCCTAACACCACCTTCCACATACATGAAGCATTCTTTTGTACCAGCCGCAATGTAATTTATGCCATCAACTGCAAGAGATGTGGCATGAAATACATTGGTGAAACAGGTCTACGGCTAGCCGACAGGATCAAACAACATCTTTTGGATGTGCAAAATGGTGCTCTGAAAACAGTACCGTTGCACTTCAGTTCCCAGGATCACCAAGGTGTCCTCGACTGCCATTAAATCTAGCCATTCCAGCAACAGAGTCCGCAAGTCTCTTGAGAATCGCTTTATTTAAACTCTGGGGACTTTAACACCCTCCGGACTGAATTGCCAACACGTTTTTATTTAAACTCCCAGGAGATTAAACTGCCCTCACAGTTTTATCTCCAACCCCCCAGTTATGGCCCCTGGCACTCTACAGGGGGTATTTATTCCCTCAGCCGACACGTGTAGTCATACTGTTGAGAAACAACCAGTCCGGCTGCTTCGAGATACCAGCTAAGTTATTTTGTGTTTTTGCGTAGTATTGTTTCATTTGTATGTGCTGATGAAGGCTCAATAGCCGCAATGTTCACGTTTTGTTTGTATTTGTTATATTGTGAAGCTTGCTTATATACTTTTCATTCGGTTTTATATCTTTTCTTGATTTACATTTTTAAACATTTTGGAATGTAGTAGCCGAAATAAGGGAATGGATCACCGAAACGTATTTATTGCAATTTCTAGATGGGAATAAATGATGTGTGTACTTAAAAAAAAAAAATTTTTCGCACAGCTAATATGATGTCACTGATATTACAGCATAGAGAGAAAAAAAATCACAAATGAGAACACGTGTGAGAAACTGAGATATAATCTAAACCGACGCTACCCAACAAATGATAACGACCCTTAAAATCAATACTTATGGATGAGATAGCACAATGATAATAACTAGGACTAGTTACAAACGAGACACTACAAGAATGTACCGAAACAATAGACTCAAAAGTACAAGTTGCTGGCCTGTCTAGAATCTAGGCACAGCTTAAATGCAACCGTATTATACCCTATAGTTTAACAAGTTGAGGACAACACATAACTAGCCCTCCAACAGCCCAAACAATTGCTGGAAATGATAGAAAGGAGAGGTGAGAACGATAGACAATGCACGGTGCAACTGTTCCAATCCGACTTTGTGGAACACCACGGTCACTAGAACAAAGCCAGGACACAGCACTAACATCAAAACATAGAAACTTAACTTTGCTCCAGTCCTAGTTCAATGGCTGCCCTTGAAAGACACAGTGATAAACTTGTGATTGTGTGCTGAGGGCGGAAGACCTCAGCAGGAGATCTCAGGTACTGCATGCACATGCACTGCTTCCCCAAAAAAATTACAAACACACACTGCTTTCCGTCATTGTCATTCTTGTTCTAATGTCTAATACAGAAGTCGAGTATTTTCACATTTGTGCACTGAATGATTCCATAAACATGGTTAAGGGAGGTGAAGCAGACTGTGCATGATGGCAGCTAATTTAGTCATTGGTGGCCTCTAGCGCTTTTAAAGTTACCTTTATTTTTATCCTGGGGCATGCGGGAGTTGATGGAGCGGAAAAGCTTATATATTGGCAGACTTTGACATGACATAGCTGCAGATGTCCAACCCATGGATCATGCATACATTAGCACGGTCATTGTAGACAGAGGATGTAATTTGGAAGTAATTTTGTTGCTAAGAATACATGATTTTACACTGAAGATTAACACTTCCAGGCATGAAAGGCAAACCAGACATATGACAGGTAAAAAAAAAAAACCAGTATAGCATGATGCTACTAGCCTGAGAAAAAAATGTGATTGTTGAGGGGAGAGTCTGAACACCTGTGGATGTTTCCAAAGTGCTGTGAAGATGACTAATCTTATATTATTTAGTAAGCACCATATCACTGTAATCATAAAAATTAAATATATAGAGGTCAGTGCTGTTTGATTATTTTGCAGACTTGTCAAACTAAATGGGGATATTCTACTGATGCCTGGTAATGACATACCACTAATGTTGCCAAGTTACCAGCGAGGAGATATCACAATAGAAGCTCAATCATTTGGATTTATTGTCATACCTCAGGCCAGTGTTCCAGCCTGTAATAGTTTCCATGAAAGTGCTACACAGTGAGAGTACATGTGACAGCTGAAAACAATGAAACAGTGTTTTCTTGTCAACATAAATGTATCTGTTACTTGACAAAGCAATCTCATGTGTTACCACTGAGAATTATTTTTTAATTATTGCAAACAGTTTTAGTTAATTACATATTTCATAATAAATAATTTTTGACATGTCTGTTTTATATGTTACCTATTTTGTACTAGATCACACTGGCTATGATAAAAACAGTTTGAATCTTCAATCTTTCCACTAACTGTAGTTTGCCTTTACTGTGTCCTGTACAACAAGTATACAGCAGTTGTTATTTATTAATTTCTATGTTGGACTGCCTCCTCCAGGTTCTGATTCTCTAATCTTTCATGTTGTTGGCTGTAATTCTGGCCACCTCTGCCTTAAACATTTTGCCTTGTTCTTAATCTTAGTTTACCTCAGGCTTAATATCCATCTTATCTTTTGTATCATGCCCTTTTGGTATGACATCACACTGCATTCATCCTTACTACTGGTTCTGTACTGACTCTTAGGGCCTCATTATCTCTTCTGGTCATTCATCACCCCCCCCCCCCCCCTCACCCACTCCAGTCCTTTAGATGTCTCATCTCTATTTCTATTCCTACTCATTTTATTCTGTATTGTATTTAGATCCTGTCTACTTAACTGCCCCCAACTCTTGTTTATTTATCATATCCTTTCTTTTTATACTTTCAGGAAAGGAGGAAGGGGGGGGGGGGGGGGGGGGGGGGTAACTCATTGCTGTACCATTTTTACTGACTCTGTCAAGTGTGATTTCCTATGATTTTTCTTTGTATCTAGCCACATCTTAGCTGTCCTTTTCATAGTGTATATTATTTTTCTTTCTTCTCTGTGTATCTTTTAGAAGTTGCTGAGCTGGGGGGGGGGGGGGGGGGGGGGGGGGGGGGGGGGGGGGATGACAGGATGCTATGTTTCATGCAAGCAATTGCACAAAACCAGTCTTCTATTCTTCCATTCTGGAAAACTGCTTCGGTTGTATTTTGATACAAGTTGCACTGTGAAATTGAATATTGTCTTTGTAGTACTTCTACTAATTTTTCATGATTTTGGCTGTACTCTGTTATAGTATTTGCATTGAGACTGTGCAGCATAATTCTATAAAGGTACCCCAAAAACAGTGTGGTCGAATACCATGAAAATAGCCAAAAGGGCTGGTGTCAAATAGTAGATATAGCAATTTGTATTTTAATTTTTTTGTTTGTTAATTTTTTTTTTTTTAAGTTGTAGAAACATGTTTATTTTATGTCAAGTAATAAACCATGTATGATGCAATATTTTACAAGAACTAAACAGCTAGTTTTTAAATTATGGCTATTGATTCTAGGGAAATAATCAAAAGATAATTCAGATATACTTGTAGTGTATTCAGTTATTTTGCTGTTATGTCAGTAATAAGATCATTGCAGATTTATCATATAAATGTGTTATTATATATATATTATTTATGTGTGTGTATGTATCCTTCACTGGATGTCACACATTGATCCCAGCATTGGTTGGCTATTTGTGGTTTAACTTGACTGTAACTTTACTTGGTAATGTTACATGCATTTATTTACCATTCCCCTTTGAAGGTCTGCAATGCACACCGTCCACACACTTGTTGAAATCAATGTCAGGCGATAACTTCCAGATTGCCTGCAGCTGAATGGCGTTGTATGTTTTGAGATACGGCAAGAATTCATTACCCTTAAGCCACAGACATTAGTAATATTAATATTTTAGGCACATTTTTTTTAAATATATGTATATATTGTTTACTTTGGGGGGCAAGGGGGGGGGGGGGGGGGGGGGGGGGGGGGGGGTGGGGGGGGGGGGGGGGGGGGGGGGGAGTGTAAAAATACTGTATTCTCAATTTGAACATTGTGTCCGATTTTTTAATATTTATTTTTTTGTTTTCGACTTATTTTTACTAAGGTAGATAAAGGTGAGTGAGTGGTGTGAGGTAACTGGTTCCATCAACAAAGATTTATTGATTGAGCTGCGGAGTGTGTGTACTGTGATTGATACCTTCTTCATTGGCCAACGAAGACAGTTTTGGAATTAGGAAACGTGGTCATAGTGATGGAAGGAGAAATAGAAAAAGGAGGGTAGGTGTAAGAAAAATAGATAAAAAACAGATAGACTAGGCGTGAAATTTGTGAGAGTAGGCTAATGTTGCAGTACAACGCAGAGAGTACCCATTTTATAAAAACAGTTTTTGATTTTGACGTCCTATTGCTGCAAGAAGTTATGATGGCCAGGTTGAATTATTCGGGGTTCAGCAGATACATCAGTCCACCGGGGCAGGGAAATCGTGGGCAAGCTATATTAGTAACAAAGGGAATACAGCCTTTGGTGCTTGAAATGAATCAGTGGAACCAGGGAAATAAATAGCTTCAAGGGATACAGGTGAAGATAGGGGACTTTAAGTGGAACATTGTATATGTACATAGATAATCCTTTTGTCAAAAAATGAGCAGTGGAATTGGCTAAAAGATACTGAACAACTGCCGGATGTGGGTCCTTATGTGTGGGGACTTTAGCTCATGCACCAGTAAGTGGGATCAGTCAGAGCAAAATAGAGAAGGCGAAGCCTTTGGTGGAATCAGAGTTTGTCTGTAAACCCAAACCCAAAAGAAAGTCAGTGAGGCCAAAGAACGCTGACTGTGCCACTGATCTTTCGATCGCAGAACCAGACACTGTATGGAGTGTACTTGGTGGTTCTGGAAGTTACTGCCTGCCATGTACTGTACTGCTGTCTTAATTGGGTCTTCCATGGCAAGGAAGGTTCATACAGTCTTCACGTGGGACAAGACAGTCGCTTGTTTGGTGCCTTAGGAGAAGAGCATGGTCAGGGGCCACCAGCAGTAGATTAATTTAGCCACTATGGTGGACTTCAGAGGTGGAGGAAGTATGGAAAGAAAAAAGGCCAGTGGTGTAAGAATGACAACTTCACAGGGGAGCATGCACAGCAGGGGTCTACCAATCATCAGCAGAAAGGTCCCTTGTCGACAATTGTTGCCACCCATTAACTTCCTAGACAGTCTCGGAAGATGGGCCGACCTGATTCATGACGCCAGACCTCAGACATCCTCTGCTGCACTTATTCAAATGTTTAGACAGGGGCAAGACAAAATGGTGACTTTGCAACACGTTTTGTGAAATTTTGTGTTATATATTGTTGCTGGGGTAGCAAAATATGCAACTGCTTTCACGACCAGAGTGACAGGCTTACGGTTGGTATATTGGACAGACGTTAGACTTTGGCAAATGGCAAAGAGACACTGGCAGAGGTTTTGTCGGACACTTTGGCTTCAAAGGGATGTAACGTTCTTTTCCACTAGGGCCTCAAACCAGTCTACCGAGACCCCCCCCCCCCCACCACCTTCCCCCACGACGTTCCATAGCGTTTCGGCATCTTCGCTCAGCTGTTTTAGTCTTTGTTTCCGTTCATTTCCTGGCAAGTCTAGGTGCATTAATACACTGTATGTGGAAGTGGAGATGTCCGCTTGCGCCTTCCTCGACGGCGAAGATTTTTACTGTGTACGCCTCATCTTTCCTCATACCGGCCACCAGTTTATCGTTTCTTTCAAGCTTGTACAAATATTTTTCTTCCATCCTCGACTTGTACGGCACGGCCAGCTGTATCAGGATGAGCTGGTGTTTTTCCGCAGAGTGCAGGTCTTGTCTGGTCTCAGAATGGTCTTTCAGATTAATCCTCGGTACTTTTCGAAACCAAGCAGGTCGACCGCCAGTAACATTTCCTTCACACAGTCAAGTATTGGTAGAGCGTATGCGACCTTGTTGCCTTGACCTTTGGAGATCTACCCAGTCTTGAGGAAGCTCATGGCAGGTCCCTCAACCTGACTTGGTCTACAATATCCGCTAACTCTTTGAGGACTTTATTGTGGCCATGTGTATCGTCCCTAACCTAGGGCTTTTCCTGCACGCGAACAATACTTGCTTGGGCGTCTGCATAGGGGACATGTCGGGTCGGTAGTCGCATGCCATTTGATCATGTTTGTGCCAGAAGGTAACACATTATATGCAGATCTTATGTCAAAGCTCAACCGCAGCGGGGTTATTTGCCAGAACTCACCCCATGTAAGTATTCGTGGCAAGGCACTCTCACAAGACTGGTTCACTGTCCTTGCTGTATTGCTTTTTGGACCTGAATCTAATTTTTGAAGTCCCCGATCTGCTCCGTTTTTTGGCCGAGGCTTTGGACCACAAAATGACTTTTCCCCACCCTAGGCCGCGTCTGTCAGTTTGTGTTTAACCCATGACTTCTTGCAATTTTAGTGCTTTCTGAGCAAGTTCTATCTAATCTTGGACCTTTAATTTTTTACCTGTCTTTAGGGCGGGCTAGACAGCTGCCACTTTGGGGTCTGCCGACTCGCACAGCTTCATTGCCAGGCTGACCTTGCCGACTTTAAACTTTTCGGTTATTGATTTGAACGGAAGCACCAGCTTAGCCTGTTTACAATAGAGAGCCACATCGATCAGACAAGGCGGAACTCCAAGCTACTTTCTCATGACTGTGTTGATTTTTTTCCTCTATAGTCTTCACTGCACTCGCGCTTACCTCGTACACCAGCAGCGGCCAGGGGAGCTTGGGAATTAACATGAACTTTCTGATCAGCCTGTATTGCTTGATAGCAAGCAGACCTGTTGCCAGCGACTCGTGTATACGCCGGACTTTCATCCTATCAGAAAACTTCGAATCGTAGACACGACCGAGGCTCTTCACTGGTTCCTTTAGAGCCACGGGGATCTTCTTCTTTGCCACCTTGAAACTGGTTGCAGCCACTTTACACTTCTGGATAGATAGACTTCTGGATTTCTGGGGCTTGAATTGCATGCCGCACCATTCAACTTCGTGATCCAGCCTTTCTAGAATATCATCCATAAATGCTCTCGTGCTCCCAATTTGAAGGCCCTGACCGACGCCGGCAGCCCCATCTAACGTGACCTGCATGGCCATGACGAAC